TTCAAAGCTAGTCATTCAGCCAAGTTCATGAGGTTCATCTCAATTAACCACCAAAAAACCAGAAGTGGAGCTGAGTGCCAGCCTTGTGCAAAAAAGCTAAGGAACAGTACTTAGGTCCTGAGTTCAAGCTCAGTACTATTATGAAAACACCATCACCACCACCACCAACACCACTACCACTACCTCCACCACGACCAACAGCAAAAGCAAACAAATATAAAAGTCAAACAACTCCCTTTCTGTCCCATTCACTTGAATAGTTGAATACATTTGAATTCCTAAAATGTTCTATCCTCAAAATTTCTTAATGGTATTAAGCACAGTTACAAGACATTCTTTTAATCATTTTAGTCTCTCTTCTTCCACAAGTTAAACTGGTTTCATGTTTTATTACATAAAGACCCCCTTTTCTTTTTTTTTTTTTGTCTTTTCTTTTTTGGTACTGGGGATCGAACCCAGGACGTTGCACTTGCTAGGCAAGCGCTTTGCCACTGAGCTACATCCCAGCCCAAAGACCCCCTTTTCTATATGTTAGGAGTATTCTGGAAAGGCCATCTGAATATAAATAGAGGAAAGCAGTGTTTACAGCATCACATGGTGGCTTAGCAACTGAGATCTGAAGTTAGAATGACTTCACTTTGAGCTCTAACCCTGTTTATGAGCTGTGTGGTCTTGGGCAAGTTCTTTAACTTCTCTGACCCTACAAGAAATAAGTAGAATAACTTACAAAGAACTTGGCACAAGGCTTGGTTCATATTTAAATAATAAATATTAGTGGACATCATGATTATTGTTGTGAGTATTGTTGGCACCCTTTCCACTGGGAATATTCACTTCATTCATTGGTTTGGAAAATAGAGTTTGTTTCTTTAAATGCATTCCAAGGCCATCTCAATACATGTCCCGGGGCCATAAAAGCTGTAGCAAAGTCACATGTACAAGAGAAACAAGATAAGCAAGACAGGTTGCACTTGTGAAGCTGGCAGCAGTACTGTGTCTACAGCTTCCAAAATTCATCATGGAAATGCTTTTGCAACTTTGGTGTGTGGAGGCAGGAAGGATAGTATATAGAGGCTTGGTGGAGGCCAGCATACTATGTGACATCATGGCTAACAACTGTCTCGACTGCTGTTCACTTTAGGAAAGAAAATCTCTCCTGTCTTCGCTTAGCTTCTCTTGCTTCCTCTGTCTTTTCTATGGTATTCCTGAGATGATATAAGACTGGCTCTCAGCAGGCTGTGAGGCAGGCAGATTTGTTCTCTGTGCTTACTTGGCTCTGTTGACCAAGTCCATGGGCTCTCAGTGTCTTCAGTCTGACCTGTGCATGCCCTATTCCATGTCTCCTGCATTTGGATCATTTGGTGCCCCTCCCCTTCCTAGGCACTGGTCCCAATGCTGGGCTTGGACCTCTCCATCCGTCCATTCTCCTGTGGTGCAGCCTTCCTGTCTGGAGTTCTCGCTCCAGACCCTTGCTTATTGCTTGAACCAGGACACCAAGCTGATTTGAGAAACACAATCAATGAATGGAGGCTGGTTTGTTAGTGGGAGGACTGTCTTGTCCAAATTGGAACCTATGTTGGTGTCCAACCCACCTGGGAAGTGATAGTGAAGATCCTCTGGTCAGATAGGGAGGAGGGAGGCCCTATCAGGTCAAAGGTGGAGAGTTTGGGAGTCTGGGGTGGGGTGGGGATTTTGCTATTACCAGGCTGCTTCATCAAAGCTTCTGCTGTGGGCACAGGCTGTGGTGTGGTGCTGTGTCAGTACACAGGGCTAAAGAGTTGGCTTCCCATCATTAGATGGAAGGGGCAGAGAAGGAGGGAGGAGGGGTTTGAACAGGGTAAGAGGAAGGGTGAGAGCTTGACATTGCTTTGCTTTCCAAGTCCTGTCACCTTTGGGGCTCCTAAAGAGTTGAGTTTGTTCCACCAAGTAGGGCTCCCTGGTTGTGAACCTGCTTCTTGCCCACCTGCAGGAACATCCTTCATCTTGTTGGGAGAGCAGGGAGGAAGTACATAGTTTGCTGACCTGGGGGAGAGACACTCACTAGCTGGTTTGCCCTCCTGGGCTCTGTGCTTGCAGGTCATGGCCAGTGCAACTGTGGGGACTGCCAGTGTGACTCTGACTGGACCGGCTTCTACTGCAACTGTACCACACGCACGGACACCTGCATGTCCAGCAATGGGCTGCTGTGTAGTGGCCGGGGCAAGTGTGAATGCGGCAGCTGTGTGTGCATCCAGCCAGGCTCCTATGGAGATACCTGTGAGAAGTGCCCCACCTGCCCAGATGCCTGCACTTTTAAGAAGTGAGTGGACAGTGTGGCAGAGTTAGGAGGCTGGGTGGGGGGTGGTAGTGGTGGTTGAGATCCCTCAACTCCAAGGTTCTGACTCTTAGTCACCAATGCTTTAGGGAGAAGAGTCTGCTCCAGTCAAATGATTACTCTGTCCAGTGAAAGCTTTGCACTGGGGGAGGTGGAGATTGAAGGGGGTCAATGTTGTACCAACTGGACAGGGTCCAAGGACCCCTCTCAGGATGGCATCCCAAACCCCTTTGAATGGGATGAAGGCTAAATCAACATTCTCTGAAGCATTCCATGTTGATGTTTGGACTCTGAGGGGGCGGGGCAGGGACTGGAGTTATTGGGGACACTGTGTGAAATAGCAGCTCCTTCCATTTGCACAACAGAGGAAGCCACTGTGGGCCCACACCCACAATTTTGCCATTCCTTTTCCCACTGTAGGCAGCCAGATTCACAGTCATGCACTCTGGATTGCTCTTGGGGACACCATGCTTAGAAGGGACCCGTGCTTGTTTAAATGCTCTGTTGTCACTGTCAGGAAATTCTTAACAAATTTTGAACAAAATTTTCACTTTGCACAGGGTCTTGAGCTCTGAATCACATGGTCAGTTCTGAGTTTAATCTTCAGACATGATATGGGGCTCACCATCATAGCTCTTGAAGTTTAACAAGGCTGGCCATGATGGCACATGCCTTTGATCCTAGTCCTCTGAAAGGCTATGCCAGGTGGATCTGGAGTTCAAGGTTAGCTTGTGTTTCATAGTGAAACTCTATCCTCCTGTTACCTCCCAAAAAGCTTAACAAAGGACTTAGGGGCTGCTGGCTCTCATGGCCAGCCTGTGAGTAATGAGATGAATCGACTTCTGAACTCTACACTTGGCTCTGGGCACCTGGGATAGTCTTACAGATGGTGTATATGTATGTGTACACCCCCCAGTACCGGGGCTTGAATTTGGGGCCTCATGCTTTCCCTTAGTCTTTTTATTTAATGCTATCACTCTCCCACTTGAGCCATACATCCCTTTTCTAGGTGGTTTTTAATTTTTTTCTTTTTGGCTGTCATGGTGCTTGAACTCAGGGCTTGGGCACTGCCCCTGAGCTTTTGTGCTCAAGGCTAGCACTCTACCACGTTGAGCTACAGCTCCACTTCCAGTTTTTTGGGGATGATTAAAGATAAGAGCCTCTCAGACTTTTCTGCCTGGGCTGCTCCAAACCATAACCCTCAGATCTCAGCCTCCTGAGTAGCTAGGGTTATAGGTGTGAGCCACCAATGCATAGCTTGTTTTCCAAATTTTTACCTAAACAAATGTGATGATTATTTTTACCTTTTTACTAAAGGTAGAGAGGATTTCTGTGTGGAGGCCAGAGTTAGACCGGACCATGCTTAGGCTTGCTCTTCTTTGTCCTAATGGCTGTGTCGTCTCTCTTTTAGGGAATGTGTGGAGTGTAAGAAATTTGACCGGGGAGTCCTGCAGGAGGAAAACACCTGTAACCGTTATTGCCGTGATGAGATTGAGTCTGTGAAGGAGCTTAGTAAGTTCCGCAAGTCTGGAGTTTCCCCACACTCAGGTCCTAAACGATTCTAGTTTAGTCCCAGGTGCTCTCAGCTGCCCTCTGTAAAGTCTAAGAGTAATTCTTACCTCCAAAAATGCTGTGCAGGCTGGATGCGTGGCAGGCAGAGATGAGACTGGCTTCTACCAGTCTGGATCCTCCAGACTCAGCACAACTTAGAAAGTCAGGCAACTCTAACCTACTCTCCAAGGTAAGGGAGATTACTAATGCTCCATTTTATAGATGGAGAAACTGAGGCACAGAGTTGGAGACATGGTTGCCCACCACTGTCAGCGAAGTGAGTAATCAGGTTTATTTTATGAAGCCTAAGCAGGGCCCAGGTTTTTGCTTACAGTTCTGGTGATTTAGAAGGCAACTTTCCCCATATGGGTTTGTAACCCACGCCTCTATCCTGAAGTCTCCTAGATTTCTGAGCATCCCTCTTTTTTCTGAATAAGACAGAAGTATGGAATGGGGAGCAAAACTCTAGCCCACAATTATTTTGGTGTGGGACTTTCCTCTGACTTTAAAGATTATCTTTGGTGCTCTCAGTATATCTGGTATGGTTAGCTTGGAGGGAGGCACTGGGTGTTACCAGGGAGATAGCTATCTTCCACAGATAGCAACTGCTATGAAGGAAGGAAGTGCATCTTCAGAGGGAGGCCACATTTAGGGGCAGTCAGGAAGTCAGTTCTGAGAGGGAGTATTGGGGAAAATATCATATCTCTGGACCTGTTGGCTAATATTAGATGTGGAGTGATTAGGGGCTAGTTTTTCCTCTGGAGGAGATTAGGCTTGCTCTGCTTAGCTCAGAGGAAAGAGGCTGCCCAGATGTGGAGATCATTTATCATCTTGATCAGGCAAGAATATTGCAAATTAGTTTATATTTCTTGACTCACCATGGTCATCACACTCATTAAGCCTTATCTGTATGAATTATATGACAGACAAAAAATTCTAAAAGAAAATTTCACTATATATATATATATATATAAATATATATATATCCTTCCAAACTAATGAAGTAGGATTGTAGTACTGTTGTAATCTTTGTTTTGTGGAGGAGGAAGTTGAGTCTCAAGAAAATTAGGAAAGGTTTATTGTGTTGTTGAGATTAGGCCGTGCAATCACCACTCTTTCCTTAGTACGGTGTTTCTGCTGGTGCACTGATGGCTTGTTCATTTCAGGTTGGTTGGATGTGTTTTGAGACTCAGGTTCTAGTCCTTCTCCATCACCAATTTGCTGTGTGATTCTGGTGCATTAGCTTAAAATGTTGTCATGTGTCAGTTTTGCTCATCTGGTTTTATCAGCTCAGAGTGTAGTACAACTGGTGGAGGATAAGCCAGTGTTCCTGGCAGGATGTACAAAACATGGATTGAGTCAGAGAGAAGGATGGCTCTAGGGAGGCTCAGCAGATCAGAACCAAACATGGAAAAACTGCAAGCAAATGACTGGGGAATCATTGAGCAAACCAAGAAAATAAAGAGAGGGAAAGAAACACCTGCTGATGTGAGGGATAGGTTATTCTCCATTCTTTAATTCTTCCTGTAAGGTGGGCATCCTTTTTACAAATATGTGAGCAAAGAAAGATAAGGTCAGATAACTTTTCCAAGATTACACAGCTGAATTAGAATTGAATTTGAATTGTTATAGCATATCTCTTCCTGAGAAAGTAATGAGAATCAAAAGCATCCTGGGAGGGATAGAACACCAGTGAGGGCCAATGAGTGACACTTAGCAGACATGCCAGGCATCTCAAATCTAAGCATCTTGCCTAATGTCAGGCTCACAGGGTGTCTTGTAACATAGTTTCCCAGAAGTTCTGTGAGATGTTTGGAAATGCTTCATCAGCTAGGAATTGACCTGTTTTCCATTCTTCCATGTCCTCCCCTCCCCTCTCCCCTTTTCCCCTAGCTGATACTGGCAAGGATGCAGTGAACTGTACCTATAAGAATGAAGATGACTGTGTTGTCAGATTCCAGTACTATGAAGATGCCAGTGGAAAGTCCATCCTGTATGTGGTCGAGGAGCCAGGTGAGTAAGCTCTGAAGTCTTTCCTATCTCTGGCCCCAGGAGGGAGAGTCACTTTAGGTGGGAGTTTCCACCCAGCCCTCCTCTTACACCAAAGAGATTAAGCCTGGTCTTAAAAAAAGGGATAAGTTCAAGTCTTACGTTACTGGTCCGAAAGCACCATTGAGAAAGTGACTCACTACTTGAATTTCATCAAGGAATGGAACATATCATGGCAGTTTTTTCAGTGGGTAAGGTCTAGATGGTAAGGAAGTTAAATTCTAGGATGTCGTAGCTTACGGCACCTGCTTTATCATAAGAGAGATGGCTGTCATGAGCAGTGGGCCTGCTGCTGCAGAGGTGGACCTGATGAGGGAAGCATTGATTATACCAGGTTTATGGTGGGATGCACGGACTTAAGGGGAAGCACTGATTATACCAGGTTTATGGTGGGATGCATGGACTTAATGCTTTGATCATAGAGTAAATGGCTGGTGTTTGCTTTCCAGACTTTCCCAGCACACACAGATCAACCACAGGTTTGTCACCATTGGACACTGTAGATTTATGTACTTCATCTGACCTCCTTTATAACCTCTGTTGTTATCCATTATCTATTGCTAAAACAAAATACCCAAGGCTAGGAAATATATAAAGACTAGATTTAGTACTTGTATTTGATTTGCTTAGTATAGATGTATCCCTTAGGAAAGTCTTCATGGCAGGAGGATCAAATAGTTTGATCATCTGCTGAGTAGATCATAAATTCCATGAATGCAGAAATCATATCCATCTTAACAGTTGTTACATATTTGTTCTTATCTACTTAGACAATACTCAATAAATAGGATTTGAATGAATTAATAAGATTGATTATTCCTAAAATGTACCTGTACACATACACACAGAGTCATCTATCTATCTATCTATCTATCTATCTATCTATCTATCTATCCATCTATCCATCCATCTATCCACCTACCCACCCATCCATCCTAGCTATATCTTCATATTTACTAGGAGAATGTTGCTGTTTGGGGAAGAAAAGGGATAAAGGTGGGAAAAAGGAAACAGGAAGATCATGAGAGCCACTTTGGGTCCCTTTCCTTGGGAAAAGATGATCACATCTATATCATCCAGGATGTTACTGTTTCTGTAGAGGAGAGTATGATGGGATATTGTTCATCAGCTCTTCCCAGAGGTTTTACCCTTCAAAGGAACCAGAGAAGGTTAAGAAAAGGCAATACCTTCATTTTATTTGGTGACTCCAGGGAAAGCTAGCAGGAAAGAAAAAAGAGGAGATTGGGGACATGTCTATGAGGGAAAGCATGGTTTGATCATACCTTGTCATACTTCCCCACACCTCCCCCACCCTCATCACACTACATTTACATACTGAATGGAAATTTCCATTCCCATTGTATCCGTACCTCTGTCCCTTCGTATGGTCAAAAAGGCATTCTGTCTTTATTTTGGGGCCTATCATTACTTTGTCTCCTTGTTGTAATTTTTTTTGTTGTTACTGTGCTGCTGAGTCACTTGCCAGAATCATTTGTTTCGGGTTTTGAGGTTAGAGTTTACCACCAAAGGTTCTAGAACAAAGGTGTTGATGGCATGGGATGGTTCAAATAACCCTGGGTGGTAACTTTCCAGGCTTCTAGTATCTCTCCTCCACATTAGGAGATGGGATTCCATGTTCAGAGACTCATATTTCCTTTTCATTTTATGGTGCTGGGATTGAAATCTAGGGTTCTTATGAAGATAGAAGCAAGGGCCTGGGAAGGTGGCTCAGTGGTAAAGTGCTTGCCTTGCATGAGGTCCTGGGTTTGATTCCTCAGCACCACATAAGCAGAAAGAAGCCAGAAGTGGTGCTGTGGCTCAAGTGGTAGAGCACTAGCCTTGAGCTGAAAAGCTGAGGGGCAGCACCCAGGCCTAGAGTTCAGGCCCCATGACCAACAAAAACAAAACAAAAAAAAACAAAAAAAAAAAACAAGATAGAAGCAAGTTCTCTACCTCTGAGCCATACTGTCAGAGTCTCACATTTTTGGTTGCCTGGATCTGCCTCTTCTCTCACCTGCCCCTTATCACTTCTAGGGGCCATGGTTTGGAAGAGAATGTATAGTTGAAGGGCTGAGCCTCTGAAGGCAGAAAAGGGAGTAATACTGAATGTTTAAACATTGGCTAATTAGTTTAACTACACAGAATGGACTCTTAAGCTGGATTGTCTTCATTCCTAGATAAGATTGCCAGATAAAACACAGTCTATTCTAGGCAATATTTGCTTCTGATTTTTACTAAAAAGTAATGATGTAAAAATCAAATTTATCTGGGTCCCTGCACTTTAGGTTACTAAGTCTGTCAACCCTAGCCAGACTTCTCTGTCCTTGGGTCACTTATCATGGGTCTACCGCTGTGGCTGGGAGGGGCCCCAGACATCATCTGATATTGTCTCTTTTTATGGAAGCCTGCCACCTACCCATGTTTAAACAGATGGTAACAGATTGTTTTCCCCTGAAGTTCTCCTGGGATGCTACTTGTCCTGTCCCTTGGAGAATGGAAGAGGTTTGCCTTTGAGTTTAAGGGTCATGCCTACAATAATGCAGAGAATTTGTGACTGCTTTTCCCAGAAGAACTGAGGTCCTTGGTTCCCAGGAATTCAGACTTTGGAACCTCAAAGCTTCTCTACAGGCACTCTTTCAATTATAGACAGCTTGTAATTTGGTGGGTTGGGAAAAAGCCAGCTTGGTCTGTGGTGGTGATTGTTTTTGTGTATGTGTGGTGAGCACAGGGTGAAGTTTAGAGAAAAAGGTGGGAGACAGTGTGGAAAGTGGGTGTGACTTCCTCTCTAAACTCAGTACTCATATATACGAACACCTGGTTTCATAACACTTGATGTTATGAAATAGTGAGGTCACATGTCAGGTACCTGAGGTTTATGGGAAACCAGGCCCTGCAGACCCTAGAACGTGATCCAATTATTGTCTGCCCTGGTTGTTGACTGGGGTTGAACAAGATGTCAGCTTGCAGCAGGGTTAAGATGTGGTATATATACCAATGGGATTTTACTCATCCATCAGAAAGAATGATATTGTACCATTTGTTAGGAAGTGGAAAGACTTGGAAAAAAAATAATCTTAAGCGAAGTAAGCTAGACTCAGAGAAACATAGGTTGCTTGGTTTCCCTCATTTGTGCCTATAAGTCTATAAGTATACACTGGGTATTTTTTTAAAAAAGTACACTGGGACATGTTAAATTATATAGAACTCTAGGCATTCACACACAGTGAGATCAAAGGAAAATATTCTTAGGAGAGGAACATAAAGGTAGAATACCTGTGTACACCTGATTATATAAAATAATATTTATTGAAAGGAACTCCAGGATGTGGAAACAAGGGGTCTTTTCTTTGTTGCTGTTTTTGTTTTTCCTTTTGTTTGTTCATTTATCTATATTTGGGAGGGCAAGAGAGGGTGCAGAAATGGTGGCACAAAGGATGAACAAATACAGTTGTGGCACTTACTAGACACTGTGTTGAGAAATGAACTCTACAACTTATGGGTGGAATGGGAGGGAAAAACTAGGAGAGAGTGAGGGAAGGAGTGACATTGTTCAAAAAGAGATGTATTCTTTATCTCACTGATATAACTGTAGCCCCTCTGTATATCACCTTTGTAGTAACAATAAAAAATACCCACGAAGAAAAAATTTTTAAATAAACTTAAAGAAAACATTTTAGATGATGAAATATTTCTGGAAAGAATCCCCGTGGTGTCTTGATCAGCAGGCCTCCTAGTATGTAGGGATGCTAACCAGGGTAACAGACACAAGTATCTTTAGGGGCTAAGAAGGCAAGGTAAGTAAAGCAGTAGGA